GGTTTGGGAGAGAAAAGGCCTGTGAATTAGCAGCCTCTTCTGTCAGTCAACTGCTGCAGTCAAAGGTGCTTCAGGCTAAAAGCAGTTAATTGCCTGGACGTGAGGGGATGCAAGCCATAGTGTGAGAGGTATGCAGGGTGGGTGTGCATGGAGAGGCACACAGGGTGGCCATGTAGAGACACACACAAGACTGCAGTGCACACAGATGCACTCTGAGTGGCCATGTGTGGAGACCTGAATGGAAAACCGGAAACCTTGATTTTCCCTCCAAGAGCTGGGTCAGCTCCCTAACTTGGGTTCTAGTTGTCTCTCTCCCTTCTGTTTGAGTTTAAGGGATACCACATGGTCCAGCCAAACCACAATGACCCCATAAAGCACCTCATTCAAATTTCAGCTGTGCTGCTTGCATCTGGCACATTGTTCCCAGTGTGTCACTTTTGGCACAGGTATCAGCTCCCAGCATAGGTGTCAGCTACCGGTGTAGGCATCAACTCCCAGCACTGGCATCAGCTCCTTTACAGAAAGTTTTAAAATAGTTAAGAGAAGAAATGATTTGTTGCTTGAACTTTGAAATCATTCTTCTATTTACAATGGAATGGAAAGGACCTCATCAGCCTATTCCAGGAGGGAAAGACTTGTGGTTGTGGGAACTAGAACCAGTGCAGCTATGGTTTCTTGGCTGGCTATTTGAGCAGAATGATTGTCTTGACAATGTCAGGCAAAGACCAAATTGAAATATGTCCCTCTGGAATGATTTTCATGAAAGCTCTCTTGAGAAGTGCAGAAATAAGCTAAAACCTTTTGAAGAAAAAATCTGATGCTTTGATTCTTCAATTTAGAAAGATCCTAAAGAAGGTATAGAGACTAAAATGCTGATGGGTGAAGTGATGTGAGAAGCTGCCTTTTCACAGCTGAGGCCAACTTCACAGTTGGGGACTTATCACTACAGTGTTCCAGAACGTGAAGAAAGCCCAGAGCCCAGGGGAAGATTCACAGAAAGAAAGATAATTTGGTAGGTGTTACTTTGCCCATATTTGAACATTACCAGGAAGGAACTGACATTTAGCAACTGACTGGTTTAGCCAGAAGTAGGGAACAGTTGGAGAAGTTAAAGAGAAATTATACATAAGCAGTGAAATTATTGGTGGAACTCACGTCAACGAAGGATTCATTTGTTACTCTACATGAAGCTGTTAAGACAACCAACTGGCATGTAAATACTATTGAAATGGTTAAAGAAAATCCAAGAAGACAAAAAAAAATTCTTAAGATTCTAGAAGGACTTGGAGCAATAAAAATGTGTGGCTGAAGAGGAGATAGAGCTAGCTAATTTTCTGACTGAAGAGAAGGATGAGGATCTCCTGTTTGAATAAGCTACACTGCTGTGATCCTTCCAGAAGTCCTGACACTGATAACCCTTTTCTTTCTGGTCTGGTCATGTGTGGTTTGTGTGGTTATTTGTTTTTTCACCTAAAGAGGAAATAGAAGATTTCTACCAACTTT